TGTTTCTGTTATTTCACTGAAAAGCTTATTAGCCTTTATCTTTTCACTTCTAATGATTCTTAGGTTTGTCTTTTAATGTTGTCCTATTTTGATCATTTTATTTTTCTTTATTGCTGACTGAGTGTTCAAGTTCATGTATCTTGTATTTGAATCCTGAAATTCTGCCTGCTCTGTGGTCTAATCTATTGGTTTGACTTTCCACTGAATTTATTTGATTTGTTGTCTTTCCTATCCAGAAATTTTGTTTGGTTCTTTTTCTGAATCTCTCTTTACTGAAAGTCCCTTTCAAATTCTGTATTTTCTCTCTTGATCACTTCTTAGGTCTGCATCGATCATTTTCACAATGAACTTTTTATATTCATTGTCTGGAGCTTCCTCCAAATCTTTCTCCAAATCAGTATCTGGAGATTCACTTATTGTCAGGGTTTGTAAATTTTGGAAGGCTCTTGTTAGCCTGCTTCCTTGTGTTTTCTTGAGTCTTATTTTTGCACATCTGTTGGGATGTGTTTCTCTCTTTTGTGGGAGATCTTCTTTTTGCATATTTTTATTGGTAAATTATAGTTGGACGATGATGAGATTTGTTGTTAAACATTGGTACATGCACATAATATAACAATGTATTTTTATCAATATCACTCCACAGTACTTCCCCTCTCCCTCCCCACCTCCCAACCACTGGTCCCTTTTCTCATCTCCCTTGGTTTTCATGATATCTCTGCCTACCCCCCACACCATCCAACCCTTGAACTTTTGAGTTTGGCTTTTTTCGCTTAACATGATGCTCTCTGGTTCTATTCATTTTCCTGCAAATGACATTAATAGGGCCCTATTGAGAAAACCATTGCCTGTGCCTATATGTTGGAGTGTTGACCCTACATTTATTTTTTAGGAGTTGCATAGTGTCTGGTCTGAATCCCAGGTCTTTGATTTATTTTGGGTTGACTTTTGTGAGGGTAGGAGAGGATGGTCTATTTTCATTCTTTTACATATGGATAACCAGTTTTCCCAGTGTGGTATGTTAAAAAGGCTGTCTTTTCTCCAGTGTGTTCTTGGCACCTTTGTCAGGGACCAGATGACTGTAGATCTGTATTTACTGTGTCATTGTTCTATGTGTGTCTCCTTATGCCAGTTCTAGGCAGATTTTGTTACCTAGCTTTGTAGAATAATTTGAAGTCAGGGATTGTGATGCCTCCAGCATTGCTGTTTTGGCTTAGCATTGCTTTGGCTATTCTGGGTCTTTTAGTCTTCCACATGAATTTTAGGACTATTTTTTCTAGTTCTATGAAGAATGTCATTGGTATTTTGATGGGAATTACATTGAATTTGCATATTGCTTTTGGTAGTATGGCCATTTTAATAATATTAATTCTGCATATCCATGAACATGGAAGGTCTTTCCATCTTTTGAGGCTGTCTTCAGTTTCTTTCTTCCATTTTTTGTATATTATTCCTAGAGGGTTTTTTTAGGCTATTATGAATAGAATTATTTTCCTGATTTCTTTCTCAGCAGACTCATTGATGGTATAGAGGAAAGCTACTGATTTTTTGTATGTTGATTTTGTAACCTGCTACTTTGCCACATTTGTTCATTAGGTATAGCAGTCTTTTGGTGGGACTTTTGGATCCTCTAATTATAGGATCATGTTGTCTGCACTGATGATTTTATACTTCTTTTCCATTTTTATCCTTTTTATTTCCCTTTTCTAGCCTAATTACTTGACTGTATTAAATAGGATTGGTGAGAGTAGATATCCTTGTCTTAATTCCAGACTTTAATGGACATGCTTTCAGTTTTTCCCCATTTCTACGAGATTGATGTTGGGTTTTTCATGTATAACCTTTATGATGTTGAGATAGGTTCCTTCTTCACCTAATTTTTTCAGTGTTTTTATAATAGATGGGTGCTGAATTTTGTCAAAGGTCTCCTCTGTTTCTATTGAGATGACTAATTCTATCTGTGTGATAAATTACATTTATTGATTTGCATGTGTTAAACCATTCTTGCATTTCGGGAATAAAACCAACCTAGTTTTGATGTACAATCTTCTTACTATGTAGTTGAACATGATAATATTTTATTGAGTATTTTGTGTCTAAGTTCATCAGGGATATTGGTCTACAGTTTTCTTTCCTTGGTGTATCCTTATCTGGTTTTGGTATGATACTGGCTTCATAGAATGAATTTGGAAGTGTTCCTTTATGTTTCATGGAATAATTTGAGGAGTATTGGCACTTGTTTTTCTTTAAAGGTCTGGTAGAATCCAGCTGAGAGTGATTAGTGATCTCTTTATAGTAAGTAGCCATTGATGGTTTTAAATAAAATAGTAACATAATCAAATCTTCCCTTAAGGAACGTAATTTTTGCAACTAAAAAAACAATTATATATGCATTACCTTTTTCCCAACCACTGCATCTCTAGGAATACCTACACAAACACAAGTGGTATACACACAGGGATTTTTAGTGAGCATTGTCAGAGTGATAGGATACCAACTGTCCAAATATCCATTGACAAGCCGAATAAACATGGGAAAAAAAAATATATATATATATTATATATATATATATATATATATATATATATATATATATATAAAGACTGTGTAACAGCAAGAACCAGATAGCCTGATTTATTGCTCCTAAATAAAGTGGAAACACTCAGCATGGACACAATTCAGCCAAGTTCTTGCCACTTTATAATAAGATTGGCCTTTTCTCTCATTTCTAATACATTCAGTCTCATTTCCATCTTAGACCTCATCAGAATTACCTTTATCACCCTTATTTTCCTCAACATACATGACCAGTTGAGTCATCTCTAAGAAGTTTCAGGCTCCTGGGCGTGATCGCACACCCTTGGAATTCCAGCAGCTCTGGAGGCTAAGGCAGGAGGATGGCAAATTCCAATCCACCCTCAACAAACTAGTGAGACCCTATCGCTAATAAAAAATTCTCTTTAAAAAAGGGCTGGGCATGTGGCTCAGTGATTCAGTGTCCCTGGTACCAAAAAAAAATAAAAATAAAAAATAAAAAAATAAGTTTCAGACTCCCGATAACTCTTTCTGAGCCCTCGCCAGAATTTCCCTCGTGCTTCATTCATGACTATAAAGGCGTTTCCCAGCATGTGCTTCAAAACCGTTCCAGCCTCTACCCATCACCTATTCCAAAGCCACTTGCACACTGTCACGCATTTGTTACAGAAGCACCTCTTTCCTGCGGCACCAGTTTTGTTCTTACGTTTTCTGTTTTGTCCTGCTGTAATAGAATACCACAGACTGGGTGATTCAGAACAAACAGAACCTGCTCAGAGTTCTGCACTCCTGGATCCAGCATCATGGTGCCAGCCTCTGGCAAGGGTTTCCTAACTGTGTCATCACAGGGCATAAGGTGGAAGCACAAAGAGGGCAAGAGGGAGAAAGAAGCCGAACTAACTCTTGTATCATGGTGTTAGTCCCACTCAGGGTCTGATCCCTTCTTACAGGTCTCACGATTAAATTTATCACAGTGGGAATTAAATTTCAACATGAATTTTGGAGGGGACCAATATTCAAACCATAGCACTCTCACATGTCAGTAAAGACCAGATGGAGAACCTGGACTCCAGACCTCACCCTAATATAAGAAGAAATATCTGCCTCTGCCGCAGTCCGGCTGCAGCAAAATAACCTGGGGGTGACGAGCAACTTGTGTACGTTGATATAGCAGGAGTAGGAGCCGTTTATTTAGGACAGGAGGGGTATATATACATTCCACACAGCTTATCTTAATTAACATAAACTAGATACAGCAGTCAACCAATAAGGAATCTCCACACTTAATGGCTTGCTGGTGTTACTTCACAAACCACTCCCCCTGGCAAAATGCCAGGCGCCATCTTGACTTGTTTACAGACTCTAACATGCTTCTCCAGCTGCCATGGTACCAGAAATGATCCAGACACTTCCTAAAGCAAAAGATAAACAAAACCCAGAGCTTCCTGACATAATGCCTAGAGTGCCCAGGATACACATGGAGATCCGAATAGCCGTTATAATGGGTTGGGTGATTAGAGTATCCAGATAACTGAAGTGAGTCGCAGCAGTTCCATGGGATAGGATGGGCTACAGGGAACACAGTTATAAAGATGCTTACACCATATGTGAAGCAATATAGTTATTTTAATATTACAAGGGGAGTCATAGATTAAAGCATCTATTACAAACACCAAATTTTCAAGACGTTTAAATGATGCAGCATGAGACAAGATCAGATGGATTTGTATAAATGCCAGTTCTGCTTCCTGGTTGCCATGAGGTGAGATGCTCTGCTGCACCTGCCTTCTCCACCATGGTGCTGGGCCTCACCACAGGTCCATGGTCTGAAGCCAGCTGACCATGTACTGAAACCATGAGCCAAAAAGCCTTAACTAATTTTTTTTAGAGGGGGCAGGTACTGGTGATTGCACTCAGGGGCACTCAACCACTGAGTCACACCCCCAGCCCTATTTTGTATTTTATTTAGAGACAGGGTCTCACTGAGTTGCTTAGTGCCTCCCTTTTGCTGAGGCTGGCTTTGAACTCATGATCCTCCCACCTCAGCCTTCTGAGCCACTGGGATTACAGGCATGTGCCATCGTACCTGGCTAATTTTTTAGAAGTTCTATTGGGGACTGGGGTTGTGGCTCAGCGGTAGAGCGCTTGCCTGGTGCGTGCAAGGCCCTGGGTTCAATCCTCATCACCACATAAAAATAAATAAATAAATAAAAATAAAGGCATTGTGTAGAACTAAAAGAAATAAATATTTTTTAAAAAGCCGGTGGTGGTAGTTGGGCTCTGAAGGTTTTTCCTGAGGAGCTGTTTTGTTTGGCATGTGTGGTTCTAAAAATAAAGTTCGTTTCTTTTGACAAGTGGCTCCTGAATTGTGCCCAGCCAGACTGCGGCACCGCAGTGTTTTTCTTCATATTCAGGAGTAGCAGAATCTACGCAGCCTACTCAAGTTCTAAATTATTTCCTATTTACAGGGTTCTGTTTTACCAAACCAGAACTGATCTTCACATTGGAACAAGGAGAAGATCCGTGGTCATTAGAGAAAGAAAAAGGATTCCTAAACTGGAGTTCCCCAGGTGAGTAATTGAATACTGGCAGAAAGCTCACTGAGTAGCTAGGAGGACACTTACCACTCAGCATGTAGCCATACTTGTGGCTAAAAATCAACAGAAAGGATACAGAGCAGAATCAGTTTAAAAAGGGCAGGAGGCAGAGTACCAGGAAAAGAGGCACAATCACAGAAACAGGACACACTGGGTTCCCCTGGCTATGAATTGCAACATGTTGTCTACTCAGAATCCTGATGATTAGGACTAGGAGCCCAGGATTTTTATCATACCCTCAATAGTATGTTAAAAGTCTGGGTATTCAGATGGAAAGCACAGGTTCAGGATGATTTACAGGTTGTGTGGATGATCAGATGATCTGTATGTCAGGTAGATAGTTTATAGGCATCTTTATCTATCATGAGTCAAAGTGTAGATGTGAGAGGGAGAGCAGGTGCTCAGCATAGGCACAGGCAGTCTGGGTATGATGGCCTCTCTGAGCAGTGCTGGGACCCTGTGTAGATGTGAGAGGGAGAGCAGGTGCTCAGCATAGGCACAGGCAGTCTGGGTATGATGGCCTCTCTGAGCAGTGCTGGGACCCTGTGTAGATGTGAGAGGGAGAGCAGGTGCTCAGCATAGGCACAGGCAGTCTGGGTATGATGGCCTCTCTGAGCAGTGCTGGGACCCTGTGTAGATGTGAAGGGAGAGCAGGTGCTCAGCATAGGCACAGGCAGTCTGGGTATGATGGTCCCTCTGAGCAGTGCTGGGACCCTGTGTAGATGTGAAGGGAGAGCAGGTGCTCAGCATAGGCACAGGCAGTCTAGGTATGATGGCCTCTCTGAGCAGTGCTGGGACCCTGTGTAGATGTGAAGGGAGAGCAGGTGCTCAGCATAGGCACAGGCAGTCTGGGTATGATGGCCCCTCTCAGAAGTGCTGGGAACCTTGGGAATACTCTTGAAGTCTAAGTTCCCAGATACTAGCCCAGGGCTTACCTTGAAGCAGTCCTGTCTCAGGCCTGCTGTATCATCTTTTGTTTGCACAAAGGCTACTCAGACCCGCAGCATAATACAGAGTAAGACAGATGCCTGTGCTACATCAACTAATATAAATGGGTTACATTCTCATTTTAAAAGGAAATGATGCCATGTTGGCTTAAAGAGATAGTTCAGACTAAGTTATGAGTTGTTAAACCAATAAGCATAACCATGTTTATCTCACTCATACTAAATGTTCAGATCAAAGAACAGATGAGGAAAGGGACATTTTAATAATGCTAGAGACAATTTTAAAAGAATATATGAGTTTTGAATATTTATCCACCAAATAAATTGATCTCAAGTTTTATTTTTTAAAAGAACTGCAAGAATTGTAAGAAGAAACATGACCATATTAAATACAGTAGATCTTTTTTTTTTTTTGAGCACAACTTTTCATTTCTCCAGTTGTATGATACAGTAGATCTTAGTATTCCTCTCTGATTTCAGTAGCACAGCCAGTGATACCAGTTGAGTCTCTAGAATACTGCTGAGCACACTGCACCCCTCAGGACAAACCCTGCCTGCTGCCTGTTTTGGTGAAGAAAGAGTGATTAGAACACAGCCATGTCTGTTCACGGCTTCATGCTACAAGGCAGAGCAGAGTCATTGCAACAGAGGCCACGTGACAAGTACAGTCAGATCATTCACTCTCCTCCCTTTCACTGAAAAAGTTCACTGACCCCTTGCTCCAGAATTTATAAGTCAGCATGTTTCATTAAGATTAAATTGACATGTTTTTCAAATCTCTACTCTGAAAACAAAGAATAAACCTCTTTTTTTTCTTTAATTTTTATTGTTGGTTGTTCAAAACATTACATAGTTCTTGACAAATCATATTTCACACTTTGATTCAAGTGGGTTATGAACTCCCATTTTTACCCCATATACAGATTGCAGCATCACATCGGTTACACATCCACTGTTTTACATATTGCCATACTAGTGTCTGTTGTATTCTGCTGCCTTTCCTATACTCTACTATCCCCCATCAAGAATAAACCTCTTAAAATCACCTCTGAACACTGACAAAATGTAAAAGTAGTTTACAAAAATGTCAGTAAGTGCCAAAAAGTAGAGAGATTATTGTTCCATGAAACTAAAATTTGAATACAATATAATAAAAAAAGTCTGTCTTGAAATTTAAAAAAGGAGCATGTATCTTTAAAAGCATATTTGATTAGACTAAATCAAAATTTTTCAATATCCAGAATATTTTAAAAAATGAAAAACATGCATCTTGGACAACAGGCAAAATACTGCTTAAAAGAAAAATTTTTGTTTATGTACTTATGTTAAAAAGCAAGAATGTTTTCAAAGAAAAGTCAGTAAAGCAAAAGACATAATAAAGATAAAAGTATAATGAGGGGCTGGGTTGTGGCTCAGTGATAGAGCTTTTACCTAGAATGTGCGAGACACTGGGTTCGATCCTCAGCACACATAAGTATAAAATAAAGATATTGTGTCCACCTAAAACTAAAAGATAAATATTTAAAAAGATAGTAAAACTAAATAAACTATAATGATACAAATAGTAAAGCCAAAAAGTGGTTCTCATAATAAAAATTACTATACATGAAAAGGAGAATGAAGCATTACTACTCATGTTAAATTTTGGCTCAGATTTCTACTCTAATCTTGAAATGCTGTTATCTCTCTGTGAATTCTTACCTCACTTCGTGGATGTTTGAAAACAAAATGAAACTCTGTGCCAGAGAACACAGTTATTGAGTGAGTTCTTTTACCGCCTAGATTATCCAGGGGAGTAAAGCAGGATGTTTCACTCTCCCATTCTCTAGCATGTACCATGTAATAAACATTGTAGACTAACTCCAGAGCCTATTGGAAGAGAAATTTCATATTGCTTCATTTACACAATACTATGTCTTTCTAAATGAAATTATATGTGTGTAAGGCAGGAATTTGGGTTGATTTGGAGAAAGAATGTGAGTAAAAGGGAAATTGGTAGAAATGAACCATGTGTCATTTAAACACTTTTGTCTTGGAGCTGGGGTGGTGGCTCCGTGGTACAGCGCTTACGTAGCATGTGCAAGGCACTGAGTTTGATTCTCAGCACCGCATATAAATAAATAAAATAAAGGTTTATTGACAATTTAAAAATATTAAAAAAAATACTGATGTCTTGTCAAAATGAGAGCAAAGTACCATGGACTAGTGGAGTGGTATCTCGAATACATAATGGGCATTCAGCTAGTGTAAAGCTTTCTTTTCCTGAATCACATCTCTTAGATCTTTTACCTGTTGGTACCTAGGAAAATAAATTCAATGCTTTGAACATTTTTAGCATAGGCTGACATTTTTGTATGTGTAGCAGCAGGGCAATTGTATCAAATATATTGCAAGAAATACATGATAAGGAAATGTAAAGTTTCTAGGGCCAGGTTGAAAAACAATCCCTTAAGATTCTGAGTCAATACAAAATAAGTATGCATAAAAAGTAGCAGAATTAAGGATTGGAGAGGGACAAGACTGGTTTGGGGGAAATGAGTGAGCGAGTTGAAAGAAAATTAACACTTGATGACTAGAAAGGGTAACTGTTAAACGTCTCTGATGTAATGATACAGTTTAGTCAGGAAATGACTAACTCCTGTCGATTCCACACTCCAGTTTCCCATTTGTGGAGGGAATTAAAGCATGGCCTGTGGGACGACTTCTTCCCACATGAGAAAATTGATGCCATTATAAATTATGTTGGTGTTGAGACACAGAATGGAAAAAACAGCTACAGCCAGAATAGGCTAATGATTGTCCTCCCTTTGTAATCTGTATTTGACTGAGTGAGAACCTAGATCTGGTGTTCCTCCCTGATGTAAACCCTGCTGTGCACTGATTTTCTTGTTGTTACTCTTGTCATCTATTTAGTGCTGATACTCTTTGTCAAATTATTCACATATCCTCATTTTTCTCTCCAAGGATCTCAACTGTCTTAAATAAACTGCATTTTCAGCTGTTCCTTTCTTTTATATCCTTTTCTCTACTCACTTTTGAAAATTATATTTTAAGATGCCAAATGCATGTGTGTGTTCATTTTTGTTTTCCTCTCTTTTACTACAAAAAAGCTTTTTTGAAGGGGAAAAATGGTACATAAAGAGTATATATCTCGAATTGTTGGAAAGCTAAGCCAGAAACCACAGAATCAGATACTTTAATAGAGCTTTTGTATATATGTCCCATTCAAACAGCTGTGTTAAGTACAAAAATACTTTAACTATTTATGAAGTATTTTTATTTTTCTCATTTTTAGAAGACTCACAACCTGATAAAGTCTCAGAAAAGAGCCCAGAAAATCAAGGCAAACGTTTGTGGCAAGTTTTGTTCACCAACAGATCATTGACTACAGAGCAAGAAATTCCAGAGAAACCATGTAACCTGGAAATAAATATTTTCCCTACAAGAATGATGCCTTATCGGTGTATTGCTTCTGGGCCTACTTACCCAAGCCTCAGCCTTTTGGCCTCACGCTGTCAGTATTCAAGAGGAAAGACTTGTGAGCTTAACTTGTATGAGAGGTGGCTCCTCAGTATTAAAGGTCACCCAACTAATCTTGGAGAGGAGTCTTTTGTTTGCAGTAAGAATGTGAGAGCTCTCCAGCGTAAGGAGGAAGTTATTCAGCCTCAGACAATTCAGAATTTGGGGCAGGATTTTCAATATAAAGAACGTGGTAAAACTTTACTTGAAAAGGCCGCCCTTGTTACTTCTCCTGTGGTCCACCAAAAGGTGAAATCGTATAAATTCAGTACATTTGGAGAAAACCAAGGTGACAGATCCACCTTTTTCATCTCCCAGAGCATTCACCCAAAGGACAAGAGTCACTGTGAGTTTAATGAAAGCAGGAATAGTTTCAGTAGGACCACCCAAAGAACCAACACAGGAGGAAAACCCTTTGGCCACAAATCCCACATTAGAGGACAGCAGAGAATTCACTTTGAGGTGAAGCACTTTGAATATGAAAAAAATTTCAGCCATAATTCACCCCCACAGGTACATCAAAGAACTCACACAACAGATAAACCCGCTGACCTTAACACGTGTGTAGAAACATTCAGCTGCCAATCAACTTTTAGTGAGCATCCAAGAACCCACATAAGGGTGAAACCCTGTGAGGGTGATGCATGTGGGAAATCCTGCTCTACGAATTTACTCCTGATTCGGCCTCAGAAAAGTCAGAGTGGGGAGAAACCCTATGAATGTCCTTACTGTGGGAAAGCTTTCGGTGAGAAGGCACGCCTAAGGAAACATCAGAGAACTCACACAGGAGAGAAGCCATACAAATGTGACGGATGTGAGAAGTCTTTCAGTGCAAAGTCAGGCCTCAGAATCCATCAAAGAACCCACACAGGGGAGAAACCCTTCGAATGTCATGAATGTGGGAAGTCTTTCAACTATAAGTCAATCCTCATAGTACACCAGAGAACACACACGGGAGAGAAACCCTTTGAATGCAGTGAATGTGGCAAATCTTTCAGCCACATGTCAGGCCTTAGGAATCACCGGAGAACTCATACAGGGGAGAGGCCATATAAATGTGATGAGTGTGGGAAAGCTTTCAAACTGAAGTCAGGCCTAAGAAAGCACCACCGAACACACACAGGGGAGAAGCCCTACAACTGTAATCAGTGTGGAAAAGCTTTTGGACAGAAATCACAGCTTAGAGGGCACAACAGAATTCACACGGGGGAGAAACCCTATACCTGCAGTCACTGTGGGGAAGCGTTCAGTCAGAAATCAAACCTCAGAGTACATCACAGAACTCATACTGGGGAGAAACCCTATAAATGTGATGAATGTGGGAAAACATTCAGGCAGAAATCAAATCTCAGAGGACACCAGAGAACTCACACAGGGGAGAAGCCCTATGACTGTAATGAATGTGGAAAAGCTTTTAGTGAGAAGTCAGTCCTGAGAAAGCACCAGCGAACTCACACGGGGGAGAAACCCTACACCTGTGCTCAGTGTGGGGAAGCTTTCAGTCAGAAATCAAATCTCAGAGTACATCAGAGAACTCACACAGGAGAGAAACCTTACAAATGTGATAGATGTGGGAAAACTTTCAGCCAGAAATCAAGCCTCAGAGAACATCAGAAAGCCCATGCAGGATTAAATGTATGAATGTAAAGAATATGGGAAACATGGGCAGTCTCTCACCCAGAGTGCTGATCTCATTGTATCACAGAACCTACCCTGCAGAGAAACGCTAGAAAGATAATGACTATAGGAAATATTCTGTGAATTCAATCCTCAAAAAACGTATGTTGTAGAAAAAGCTTCAAGAAACTAATTAAAAAAATGAAATTTTTATGTAGGCAATCAAAACTAATTCATCATCAGAGAAATCACAGAAAGAAAACCTAGAAAGTCATAAATGTGTGATAACCTTTAGCCAAAGGTTATCTTTCTCAGTTTAGCCCAGAATATTTAAAAGATAGAGACCTAACCACATATCAAGACAGACAAGGAATGCAGGTGACGGATATGGGCAATCCTGCCATAGTCAACCCCCAGTTTGACCTATACAAAGGTAGTCTCCCTTATCTAATTACTAAATGTTGACCGGTAGCCATGTCCTCTTCTGTCCCATCCTCCATCTAGACATAATTTCTCAACCACTCTCACAAAGGAGGTTATATTGTTAACTTCTAGCTAATAGAATGTAGGGTTCAGGGACGGACGAGTCTCATTAAATACATCTCTCAAATTTTCTCACCAGAGTCGGGGAGATATTACTTCTAGGGAAAAGTTGGAGTTCACACACTAGGATGAAGGCGTACCTGATGGTAGGAACCAGGGTCAAGGAAGGACCGTGTGAATGTGGTTCCTCCTCCACATACTCAGTTGGGTGTTTCATATCAAGAAAATAAACTTGTTCTCTGCTGAAGTTCTGCAAGGTTTGGTATACTTGGTAATGACCTAAACTCACCAAGCCTTACTTAATAAAACATAAGCATGTGATTTCTGTGGACATAAGAACAACTTATGTTTTCTGTGTATCAGAAAAGTCCCTTAGGAAACCTGACAGTATCCTGAATGGCCATAGCTTCTGTCCAAAACTCTTCTTTATCAAACAGGAAAATATTGGAAGTAGAAAAACAGTATTTTAACACACACAGAGGAAATCTACCAAGAAAGTGTTATAAAAAATTTTTGATAATTGAGTTTTGAATATATGAACATTTCAATAAGACATCAAACTTTATTATCTCTCAGAGATACAAGGGGAATCAATTTTGAGAAAGGTAGGTAATAGCCTTTATTTAGAAATTTTATATCAAAACTTGTTCATATGAAATATGAAAACATCTAGTAAAATGTACAATATTGATTCATGCACATTCACTAGTACAAAAAAAGCTTAAGAAGAACAAAAAAAGGGCTGGGGTTGTAGCTCACTGGTAGAGCATCGCCTAATGTGTGAGGCCGTGGGTTCAGTTCTCAGCACTGAATACAAATGAATTAAATAAAATTTTTTAAATAAATAAATTGCATAAACTAAACAAAAGCATTGCATGTACATGAGTGTTTTCTGAGGTGTCGTTTATATATGGATATATGCATGCCACTTGCCAGGCATTTGTGAATTTAAACCCAACATAATTGGAATGGAATCATGTGCCCCCTGCTTAATAACTATTCTGACATCAGCTTCAATTTGCCATATGTATATTAAAAATAAATCTTGTACAGCAAATATCTGAAAATTGAGACCACATTCCCTGCTGCCTTCTGATGTGCATATAGGAAGAGCCATTGTTCCTAAATGTTTTCAGTACCTTATTACCTCAGAGTCATGATGCACATAAAACACGGACACACATACATGTGCTTTCAGCATCACTGATTGCTTCCTTGGCCGTGTTAAATACATCAGTGGGCCCTTTTATTGCACTTTTTTATTTCTAGGATTTTAATTTTATTCCCAGGATTTCAATTTTATTTCTAGGATTTTAATTTTATTATTGTTTAATTCCATCTCTGCTGGAATTACCTGTCTAATCCTGCATGGTGTCCTCTTTTCCATTATAGTCGTTTTATGTGGTGGTTGGCATCCTCTGAGGTAAGCAACGGTTTGGGTCCTGTTTTTCTCTGAAGCCACTGAGCTCTCCAGATTTGGGGTTAGTTTGTTTTTGCTACGTGACCTCACGTATCTGTATGTTCAAGAAAAGTTGTAATCTTTCCAGTCTGTTTTCTTTCTGTACAGATAGGAAGAATGCTCTGTCCTGCTCCCTTCTTCCCTGAGGTATAATGGAAAATCATTCGTTAATCTTTAAGAAATGTTTCATGGTAGTTTGATGAAGAATGATGATTTTTCCCAAAAAACGGTGCTAAAATAACTGTATATTCATTTATATCTCTTACACTGTAATTTGAAATGTATTTAGAATCATATATGCAAACATAACTAAAAGTACATTTTTTTAGAAAACTGAAGAAATTGCATTTGAGGTGTGCAGAAATTTTAAGGTAGAATTTTAAAAAGCTTGAAACATAAGAGTAAAAAAAATTGGGGATGTATTAAAATTTAAAACTTTAGCCTTTTAAATTTTAACATGAAAATGAATAAGGGAACCACAGACTGAGAGACACTCTAGTGGGTGTATCTGATGAAGTTCTCACATCTGTGTTAAAGAATGTTCACAATATGGACTGTGGTGTGTGCACTTAATTCAGTTCCTCACCCTGTCTTCTCACAAGACTTTTGAATCAAGGGGTTCTAGCCAAGAGATACAGCAGAATCTTTGCCTTCCCCAGTGAGTTCCAATGAATACTGACAATAAAATCAGGTGCAATTCCAAGAGGAGACGTTGGAGGAGAACCAAGCTGAGTCTGGAAGGAATTACACATTAAATGATACATGTATTTATGCCGTATCAAGGTTATGATCTCCTTGTCACATCAAGCTGAATAGGTGCCCTTATTGGGACAGCTGAGAATATATAACTGGGAATGTGATCTTTTGGTTAGTCATGAAGGTGCTGCAATCATGAAGTCATGTAATCATATAGTCATGAAGGTGGTTTTGATTGGTTTGGTAATATGTGAAATTTTGGAAAAAAAAGTTTGATATAATAACAAAAAGTCAGATAAAACTAGCAATTAAAGGAAAAGGTCAAAATAAGCATTTCCCGAAAGTTATGTAGGAGGCCCACAAGTACAAGGAAAGATAAAATTATAATGTGATACTATGATCCATTTGTTAGCTCCTCAAGAAGGTAATGATACCTACAACCAGCAGTTTCTATTCTAAAAGCAGAGAATTGTTCAAAAATGTCCATGTAGTCTGTACTCACAGTAACCCCAAAGTGGAAAGAAATGCAGGGTCTGTCAACAGAAAAATACACACACAGCAATATTACCTTATAATGGAATTCCACTCACCAACAAAAGAAGGATCTACTAATGCAGATAACAACATGGATACATCTCAATAAGATAATGCTGAGCCAGGCACAAGTGGGTAGAACCATATGTCATTCTATTTATGTGAAATCTAGGAAAGACATATCTAATTTAGAGCAACGGAAAGGTGGTTTGCCTTGGTGAGAATTTACTGAGTCCAGTTTTAAAAAAAAAATGTTTTTGTCTAATGTGATAGTGTTTACAAAGCTGTATGAGTTTTCATAGCTCCTCAAAATGTATTGAAAATGTGTATATTTTACATTCTATAAATCATACCCCAGTACAGTTGATTTTAAAAATCACAGAAGTGCCCCATAATGTCTTTTTTAAAATTTTTTATTTATTTGAATATTTATTTTTAGGTGTAGATGGACCCAACACAATGCCTTTATTTTTATGTGGTGCTGAGGATCGAACCCGGGCCCCGCCCGTGCTAGGCAAGCACTCTACAGCTGAGCCACGATCCCAGCCCCCCCATAATGTCTTTTAACACAGAAACTGCATCCTGACTTCTTTTGGGCAGTAGAATCACACCATAAGTGGTCCCCAAGAGAAAGGAGGGCTCAGATCAGCAGTTGTTTTGGCTCTTACTGTGTCCAAAGGATGAGGTTTCACTTTCTTTGCCATAGGTATGTCCTAACCTGAGAAAAATGCCATCATTTCAAATAGTAAAGGGTCCCTGCCAAGTGTAAAGTGGTCATGAGGTGGTGACATAGGTCATAGTTTGAAAACTCATCCTGTAGGTCAGTGGAGAATTTTAATAAGGACTTTGAAAAATGACTGAACTCAATGCTCAGAGGTCTTCCATATCTTGAGGAGCTCACTAGGAGGATGGGCATGACTGTACTTAAAAATGCTTCAGCAGGAGGTTAGGTAAAATTGAACCAAGTGGTGAGGGAAAAGTCGTCTTTTATTTGATAGTGTAATTTATTTTCATGTTGAAATTGCCAGAACAGGACAGAAGCCAGTAGTCACAACATAGGAAAACAAGTATTGAAGACTACAGAAGGAGTCTGTTGTGTAGAAGTATGCAATAGTCACCACTAAGTTGCCATCAGTTTAAATTGCTGTGCTAGGATATAACAATTTCTAAAGCATAAAAAATAATATATGGTAAAATAGCAAATAAATAAATTGCTTTTGTTGGGGATATGATTCAGTGGTAGAGTGGTTGCCTGTCTTGTTAGTGCCTCTGGGTTCTATGCCCAGCACCAAAAAAAATAAATAATAAATTACAAACCCTTAATTCTTAATTAATGCTTTAATGTCAACTTATATTTAAAATGGTGGAGATGAAGATTTTATTCCTACCTTCCCACTTGCATTAGATGAGTAGGTAACATCTTTGGAAAAAACTCAATCCAAAGATGAAACTCCTATCCTGGGTCAACAGGCCAAGTGCTTGTCTCCCAAAAGAGCCATATCACCTGCATGTCCTGAGAAGAATGGCCACCTGGCATGGATGACAGGTTGGTCAGGCAGGATGTGCAGGCCTCCTGCAGAACCTGGTGGCCAGGCTCTGAAAACACAGGGTTTGAGCAGCTTCTGGGACCAGGGCCCAGAAAGGGCTGTCAATCAAAAGCTCCTGGGATTTCCGGTATCTGCTAATTTCAGGGAGAGGAATTATGAGTTGGGGAAACCACCATCTAGGTGCCCCCCCCAGCAGGTGACCATGATAGGTGGGCATTCTGTGGCCTGCAATTATAGAGATGCTTTTGTCTCTGAACAGTGCTTCCCATGCACCTGCCTGCTCTTTCAAGTGGTCTCTGAGGTCAGGAGTGGCCTCAGCCCTTGGATGAGGACAAAAGCTGCATCTGTGGACACAAAGTATGACTTAGTGCTGCACCACATCAAGTCCTGCTGCGTGTTAAGATGGGATATGTGACTCTTGCCCAGTGGGGTTGCAGAGTGCTCAAGTGACATTTCTAGCAAACACTGGCAATTTTTTTCACATTATTAATTTTGGGGAGGGGGTGAATGAACACAGACTGTAAAAGTAAAATTTGCTTAGCCTGACTCCTTGGCATATTTTCCCAAACTTATTATATTATTTAGCTGTAAGGTCCCCGCTTAGTGCTGCTTTGGCCATTGTCCCATGTTCCTTGGTATTTTATGTTTTCCTTTGCATGTGTCTCTAAGTACTTTGTAATTTTCCTTGTGATTTCATCTTTCATTCTTTGATTCAGAGCATAATGTCCAGAAATTTATTAATATTCCAGATTTCTAACTTCATCCCACCATGATTGTAGAAGACACTGTGTAATATCTATCTTTGAAACTACCCAAGACTGATTTTCTGGACTGACATAGTCTCTCCTGCAGAATGCCCCATGCACTTGAAAGGAATGTGTATTCTGTTGTTGGGTAGCTTACACATGTCAGAGCAACTGGTTTACTGTGTTCAAGTTTTGCTTGTCTTCTGTCTGGCTGTACAATCCAACAATTAGAACTGAAGTTTCCAACTGTGATCATGGACAGTATTTCTCCCATGTTTGGTTCTTGTATTTTGATGGCCTGTTACTAGGTCTGTAAATATTTATAATTGTTCTTTCTTCTTGCTTTGTTGGATGTTTTGCTAACCTGTTGTATTTAAATTCTGTTTTGTCAGATAGAATAACTTCTTCTGCTCTCTCTCTCTCTCTTGGTTCCTGTTTACATGGAAACTTTTCCTTTTTTTGTCCTTTTTGGAACTGCGGGTCGAATCCAGGGCTTTTCGAATACAAGGCAGACGCTTTGCCACTGAGCTACATCCCAGCCCTGCATGGAACCTCTTCCATTGTTGTTGTCTGAACTGATTTCTGTGTTTGTTATAAAGTGAATTTCCTTATTGAAGGTCTCTTCTCCCTCATGATTATGTGGCTGGCCAAGAGCTGCAGTTTGCTGCTCCTGTCTGTCTAGCATTGCAGAAAGTATCATATTATGTGTCCCTAGCCAGGGAAAAGACCAAAATTCAAATTTGATGTATAATTTCTACTAAATATGTATCATTTTGCACTGTCATGAAGCAAAAAAAAAAAATCGTTAGTTGAACCATTGTAAGTAGAGGACCACCTGTACTTACATACAGTGTGACTACTATTATAGTCAAGCAAGTTAACATATTTTTTCATGCATGTAGTAACAGCATCCAAAATCTACTCTGCATAAATCCCAAATACAAATACAGTCTTATTGACTTTGCCCTCCTGTTGTATGCTAGACCTCTAGACTTTTTCATCCAATGTATCTCCACTTTATGTCCTTTCACTACCTCTCCCCAGTTCCACCCCACCCCTGGTAGCCACTGTTTTATTTTTTATTTCTCTGTAGTTGACTTTTTATTTCACACCATAAGTGAGATCTTGCAGTATTTTTCTTTGTTTATCTGGCTTATTTCACTCAGCAACGTGGCCTCCAGGTTCACCTGTGTTGTGGCAAATGGCAGGCTCTCTTTTATTAAGCCTGAACAGTGTTCTGTATACACACACACAATTTGTCTGTTCATCTAGCCTAGGTTGTTTCTGTTTTGTGGCTACTGGTTTGCAGTGATCATGAGAATGCTAATTATCTCTGTGACCTGCTGGTTTTGTTTGCATTGGAGACATAACTAGCAAAGGGTTTGCTGGTTTATATGACAGTACTGTTTTTAATTTTTTATGTAAACTGTTGTGTTCCATACTGGCTACATCAATTTCCATTCCCACCAACTGTGCAGAAGGGCTCCCTTGTCTCCATACCCTTATGAATACTTACCTTTTTAAATCATAACCATCTGAATAGGCATATGGTGATATTATGGTTTTGATTTGTTTTTTCCTGATGCATAGTGATGTTGAGCATCCTTTTATATACCTGTTGGCCATTTTTATGTCTTCATTTAAGAAACATCTATTCAAGTCCTTAATTCATTTTTTTAAATCAGGTTTAGGTCTTTTGCTTGTTTGCCTTTGCTTTTGTTTTGAGACATGTGAGTTCTTCATATAGTTTGAATACTAATCCATTTCCAGATACACAGTTTGCAAGTATTCTCCACATCTATAGACTACTTTTTCATTTTGTTGATTACTTTCTTTGCTGTGCAGAAGCTTATGGGTTTAATATAGTACTATTTATTTCATAGTCTGAAATTTTTGTATGATATTCAAAAAATCAATATGCAGACCAGTGTCAAGAATATTTCTCCTGTGTCTTTGGCTATGAATTTCATTGTTTCCGGTCTTGTATTTAGGTCTTTTGTCCATTTTGAGTTGATTTTTGTGTCTGGTGTAAGATAAGCATCCAGTTATTCTGTTGCATGTGGATATTCAGTCTTCCCCCTACCATTTATTGAAGAGATTGCTCTTTCCCCCGATTGATTGTTCTTGGTGTGTTTGTCAAAAATCATTTGACTGTATATGTTTCAGTTTATTTCTGGGTTTGCCATTCTTCTCTGTTAGTCTATGTGTCTGTTTTTAAGCTGTTCACATACTCGTTTTATTATAATAGCTTTGCAATGTAATTTGAAATCAGGATGTGAGATGCCTCTGACCTTCTTTCTCTTTCTTAAAATTGCTTTGGCTGTTTCAGGGTCTCCTGTGTTTCTTTACAAATTGTAGAATTTTGTTTCTTCTTCTGTGAAGAATGCTGTTGGAATTTTGGCAGGGAATGTTTTGAATTTGTATATTGCTTTCAGCAGTTTAGACATTTTAACAATATTAATTCCTCCAACCATGAGTATAGCGTATCTTTCCACTTGGTTTTTCTTTCATTAATGTTTTATAATTTTCAGTGCACAGATCCTTCACTTCCTATGTTAAACTTATTCCTAAGTATTTTATTTTCTTTGATGTTACCATAAATGGGATTATGATGATTATTATGATTTTCTTTTATATTATTATAAATGGGATAAATGATGTTATCATAAATAAATTTTTTTTGAGTCAGTTTGCTCTTGATGTACAGAAAAGCAACTTTTATGGAAGACTAAAACAGGATATCAAGGTTGAGGCCAGCCTTGGCAACTTAGCAAGATATTGTCTCAAAATAAAAAAAGACTGGGCATGTAGCTCAGTAGTAAAGTATCTCTGAGTTCAATCCCTAGTACAAGAAGAAGAAGCAGAAAAAAGGAACTTTTTCTATGTTGATTACATATTCTGTCATTTTACTGAATTTTTTAATTTCAACATTTTTATGGAGTTGGGGGATTTTCATTTTCTACATACAGGATCATGTCATCTGCAAAGAGGAAAAATTTAATTTTTCCTTTTAAATTTGAAGGACTTTTACGTTGTTGTCTTGTCTGATTGCTCTTGCAAGTACTTCCAATGCTATGTTGAATAGAAGTGGTGATAGTGGGTATCCCCTGCCATGTACCAGATCTTAGAGGAAAAAGATTTCAGATTTTCCCATTGATTATGTCAGCTCTGGGCTTTTTATGAATGGCCACTTGTGGAAATTATTATGTTGTGGAAATTTCCTTCTATAATTAATTTTTTAAAAGATTTTATCAAGAAAGGATATTGAATTTTGCCAAGTGCTAGCATGTCAATTGAAATTATCATGTGGCTTTTAATCTTTCATTCTGTTAGATATGTTGCACTGATTTGCATATATTAAATTAGACTTGCATATTAGGAGTAAATCCTAGTTGGTCCTAATGAATAATCTTGTCAATGTATGGTTGAATTTGATTTTCTAGTATTTCATTAAGAATTTTTACATCAATGTTCATCAAAGATATTGGCATATGGTTTTCTTATATTGCCTTTGCCTTATATCAAGGTGATGCTGGCCTCATCAAATGTGTTTGCAAGTATGCTCTCTTACTTTTTTTTTTGGAGGAATTTAAGAAGTATTGATGTTAGGGCCAGGTGCAGTGGCTCACATCTATAATCCCTGTGGCTCAGGAGGCTGAGATAAGAGAACTATGAGTTCAAAGCCAGCCTCAGCAATGGCAAGGTGCTAAGCAATTCAGTGAGACCCTGTCTCTAAATAAAATACAAAATAGGGTGGGGATGTGGTTCAGTGGTTGAATGCCCCTGAGTTGAATCCCTGGTACCCCCTCACCCAGCGAAAAAAGAAGTATTGATGTTAGGACCTTGGGTGTTCCAGGGTAGACTGACACCCAGTCTTCAGCATCCACCCACGCAGTTGCTCAAATGCTGGGCAGGCCACGCTCCACTGCCTGGTGGTAGCACAGCAGCCCTGGCCAACCCCAAGACTTCATGCATACAGCGTACCCCTCTGGCCCTAAAGCTGCTCTCCTTCAACTCACCTATGTTCCTATAGACCACAAGAGACAGAGGAGGTAGTTTGATGCTTGCTGGATGACCTACTTCAACAAACAGAGGTACCAGACACAAATGCCTGGGAATTGTATAAAAGGATGAACTCACTTGTTGGCTGTGATCTGGTTCCAGAACCCAAAATCATTGTGGGCATTTAGTCAGTTAAATGATTTTTCCTAGTGCTGCTCGTATCTTAGAGCTTGTTAAGGATAAAACAGGACCTCATGGGGAAATCTACCCCTCTCCTATCCAGGAACTGAGACTAACTGTAAATGAACTGGGAATCTCTACGCTAGAGGAAATGGCTTTATTGGTATTGCTACTTGATTGCAAACCACCACCTCCAAATGTTGATAACATACTACCTTATTTGAACAAGTTTTTCTTCATTGACTGTTAAATCATGTAATGGTAACTTGGACTTTAATTAAAAGGAATGAGTTTGAACTGGAATAGAAAGGGGAGGGAGACAGGGTGAAGGTTTAGTTCAGTAGTAGAGTGTTTGCCTAGTATGCTCCATCCCCAGCACTAAGAAAGAGAGAAAGTATTCATATTCATTGAGTCTTTGGTACAGTGCAGCCATCAAACCACCTGGTCCTGGACTTTTTCCCACATTTTTTATTGCTGCATTTTAATTATACATAATGGTGAGATTCATTGTTACATATTCATTCATGCACACAATATAACACCATAAGTTAAAAAAATTTATTTAGTTGTAGATAGACACAATACCTTTATTTATTTATTATGTGATGCTGAGGATCAAACCCAGTGCCTCACAAAAGTGCTCTACCACTGAGCCACAGCCCAGCTCCTATATGACATTATAATTTGACCACTATCATTCCCCAGTGTTTCCCCTTTCCCTTCTCTCTTCCCACCCCAGGGCAGCCTTTCCTCCACTCTGTTCATCTCCCTTCAGTTCTCATGACGTCCTCACCACCCCAAATTTTTGTTTTCCTCTTGACTTTTTGAGTTTGGCTTGCTTCCCTTCACATAATGTTCTCAAGTTATTAGGAAGTTGTTGATGATTACTTTAGTCTCTTTATTAATGTCCAGTTCATGCTTCCATATCTTCCTGATTAAATCTTGGCATGTTCTATTTTTCTAGGAATTTATTCATCTCTTCTAGGTTTTCCAATTTAATGAGCACATAATTGTTAATAATAGTCCCTTCAGTTCTTTTTATTTCTGAGGCATCCGTTTGAATATCTCCACTTTCATTTCTGATTTTATATTTGAGTCTTCTCTGTATTTTTATATTTTTCCTAAATGTTTTGTCAGTTTTATTTATTCTCTCAAAAGAGCCAACTCTTAGTTGCTTTTTACTTTTATATTTTTTCTCAGTTTCACTTATTTCACTCTGATCTTTATAATCTTCCTTCTGCCAACTTTGGATTTAGGTTGTTCTTTTTCTAGTTCTTTGAAGTGTAATGTTAGGCTATTTATTTTAAATGTTGCTTTTTTAAAATGTAGGTATTTATTTACATCTCCCTTAGTATTGCTTTTATTGTATCTCATAGGTTTTGATATGTTGATTCCATTTTAGTTTGCCTCAAGATGTTTTTTAATTTCCCTTTTGATTGATCTATCACTTGTTCAGGAAGGAGTAGGTAGTTAATTTTCACATACTTGAACTTTCCAAAATTCCTATTGTTAATTAGTATTTTTATACCATTCTGGTCAGAAATGATACTTGATGTGACTTAAATCTTTTAAAAATTTTGTTGAGATATGTTTCAAGTCCTAGCATGCTCTATCCTGGGGGATGTTCCACATGCCCTTGAGGGGAATATGTATTTTGCTGCTAATGGTTGGAATGTTCTGTGTTTGTCTCGTAGGTCCTCTTTAAAATGTAGTTCAAACCCAATGTTTCCATATTAATTTTCTGTCTGACTGAAAGAGAGAACCATCTACCCATTGTTGAGAGTAGGGCTGGGGTTATGGCTCAGCAGTAGAGTGCTCACAGCATGAGGGGCTGGGTTCGAGCCTCAGCACCACATAAAAATAAATAAATAAATGAAGGTATTATATCCAACTACAACTAAAAATATTTTTTTAAAAAAAGAAAGTAACGTGTTGAAGACCCCTACTATCATTGTACTGCCATTTCTCCATATTCATGAGTACTTACTTTATGTATTTAGGTGCACCAATGTTGGGTTCATGTGTATTTACAATTGTTATGTGGTCTTATTCAGTTGGTCCCCTTATCATTTTATAATGATTTCTTTAACCCCTGTGACAGACTTTTGCTTAAAGTCTGTTTTGTCTGATGTAAGTATAGCTGCCCCTGTGCTTTGATTACTGTTTGCATGGAGATCTTTTGCTGTCTCCTCACTTTCAGGCTATGTATATCCTGTACTGTGTTCTTAGTCATTTTTATTTCCTTGGCACCTGTTCTGAATCCAGCCCGGACTTCTTCCTACAAGAAGCAGTACTTGGTCACTCTTGACAGTTTCCAGCTGTCCACCCTCTCAGTTCCTCAGTGTGGTCGACCCTGTACTCTGCCTTGTACAGCTGCCTCTGGTGACCACCTTCCTGTGGTACACTGGGTGCAGCCTACTTGACTCCTCCCACTGACCTGACACCCTGCATAGAAATGACTGCCTCCTGTTTAACACAGCGGTTAGCACTCTCCATGGGAAATCTGCGTGGGTGATTGCCTGGGCCCAGTAAAGCCTAGGCCCACAGGTCTGTCCTCCCATTCATTCTCAGTCTCCTTCATTCATTCCCCTCCCTCTTTGCCATTGTTTTCAGGACTAAGATCTGAGATTCTGGGGTGCACCCTAGGAAGTGAGGTCCGAGGAGAAATGTACCTGCTGTGACTCAGAAGGACAGGGCATAGAAGCACATGGGTTTGAAGAGGTGCTGTGGAGGCTTGCAGAACACAGCATGATAGCAATTCAGTTCACATGGCTATGGGGGCTGTTGGGCAGCTCAGGCCCAGGGCTCAGCACTGATGCATACTCCAGGATGGTGGGATGCCACAGTACCAAGCTCACAGAAGTAGGGTGCACTGTCACAGAACTTGTGAAAATAAAACTAGCATGAATGACTTTTTTCCTTGTTTGCAATTTCATAGGTAGGGTATTTGTTCTTACCATAGATATAGGTAGGGTATTTGTTCTTATCATGGATAGAACACATAAAACTGTGTTCCTTATTGAGAACTTCCACCTTGTTACTTAAGGAAGCGCTTGATGGCTTCCCTTTGGCATATCTGAATTGCATGATAAGGCAATTGCTAAGGTTTGAATGCTTCTCCCCTCTGAAACTCATGAGTGAGATTGGTGCACATAAACAGTGAGTTTGGGCCTCTCCAGCCTCTTTCCCTTTCTGACTCTTTTGCCCTGTGAAAAACTCGGGTCCCGCTGCCTCTCCTACAGTATGCAGCATTCACAGCACTACCCTCACCAGACATCAGACCTGCTGGTACTTTCATCTGGAACTTCTCAGGGTCTAGAACTCCAGAAATAAATTTCTATTCTTTATAATTTAGTCTCAGCTATTCTGTTGCAGCAGCACAACTCAGGCTAAGACAGTAGTGATCCATCCATACTCTATTCAACATCATTCTGCAAATCTTAGCCACTGGACTAAGGTAAAAAGAAAGACATAACATTCTACAGTCATACAGGAATAAACAAAATGGACTTTTGTTTTCAGGAAAAAATTTTTTTTGTTTGTAGAAAATGTCCAACCTAAGCCGGATGCAGTAGCACATGCCTGTAATCCCAGTGGCTCAGGAGGCTGAGGCAGGAGGATCATGAGTTCAAAGCCAGCCTCAGAAAAAGCAGGTGCTAAGCAAGTCAATGAGACCCTGTCTCTAAATAAAATACAAAATAGGACTGGGGTGTAGCTCAGTAGTCGAGTGCCCCTGAGTTCAATCCCTGAAACCCCCCCAAAAAAAAAGAAAAAAAGAAAAGAAAATGTCCAACCTAGAAAAGAAAGAAAACTTTAGTGAGTATAAATTAGCAGGATATGGCCAATACACAAAAGCCACTTCTATTCCTATATACCCGAAATGAACAAATGGAATTTGACACTTTTAAAAAATCTATAATCACAAAAAAAAAGGAGAAAGGAGGGAGAAAAAAGAAGAAAAGACTCATGTACAAACCTATCAAAATAAGTGTGGGAAATGTGTACTGAAAATTATAAAGCTCAGGTGAAAGAAATCAAAGATGGACATGAGATACACTCACAGATACACTACACAGTTTTCATGAACTGAAATATTAAATATTAAGATGCCAATTCTCCCAAATTTCAGCAGCTGTCCTTGCAGATATCAGTATGCATTCAAAGGCAAAGGAAATAGAAATTGAAAACAATTCTAAAGAAAAAGGAGCAAAATTGGAGGATTTATGATACCATATTCCACATCTTTCTATAAAATTTCTATAAAATCTGAACAGTATACCTGCAGAAGAATAGGCATATAAGGCAATTTAAAGGCATGATTTTTAAGTGAATTGAAATTTTGTTTTTCTTTATATCTATTTTATTTATTTATTTATTTATTTTTATGTGGTGTTGGAATCGAACCCAGTGCCTCACATGTGTGAGGCAAATGCTTTACCACTGAGCTATAACTCCAGCCCTGTAAATTAAAATTTTCAAGAAACATATGTGAACGCCACATTACACTGGCTTTTTATAATTGTCAAAAATTGCAAACTAACAGCTATCCTGGATGGATGAATAAACACTAGGAAATTAGTGAGTGAAAGTTTAAGAAGAAACGGGGTGTTTAATGGCCTTAGAATGTCTCACTGCAAATATCTATTACCTTGGCGGCACTGCACCTACACTGGCAGCCCCCATTTTGGAGCAGAGCTTTGTGGGCATTGGCAAAGTCAGTGGCATCAGGGGCAACTGCCTGGAAAGGAGGGGAGTAGTTTTTAGTAGTTATTTAGAAGCATTTGTTTACTTTAAAAACTTAAGAAATTCTAACATTTAACTTGGGCACAGTGGTGCATGCCTTATAACCTCAGCTACTCTGGAAATTTAGACAGAAGGGGCTCACAAGCTTGAGACCAGCCAGGGAAGCTTAGTGATACTGTGTCTCAAATTTTTAAAAAGGGCCAGTGATGTAGTTCAGAAAGAGAACACTCCTGGATTCAGTACCCAGTACCAGTACACACACACACACACACACACACACACATATTTAGAATTTTAAAATGTTTACCTTAGAAATTGCTTTTAATTGGTTATAGCTTTAACCTTTGTAAAAATAATTTATTATAATGGTAGTGCCATGGACATGTCCTTACGTTCTTCCAGTGCCTACCTGTTGTAAGGAGGATAGAGCTGGCTCTGATACATGCTATATTCTTTCTTTCTCTTCCTGGTCCTGAGTTTTACTGCAACAGCAGCAGGCAAGTTAAATATTGAGTCATTTTCAGGACTTTTCTGGTCATTGCAAGTTTTTAATTCAAGTGAAAGTTGGAATCGTTCATTAGGTTAAACAAAAGATGTCAACAAAGAAAAATTAACACATAGAAGTCTTAGAATGCTGATTGGAATTTTTTAAATTATACTATTTCATCTGATATTTATTGAAGTTTTATTAATGTCAACACTAAAATTTTGTACCTTGATTCATATAAATTACACTAACTGGTAAAAATAATTGTCTTTTTCTTGCTAATCAAAACTCATTCATGTTTATCATTGCCAAATAAAATCACCTGTCATGAAGTATCAATGATGAAAACTGCACACACACATGTGTATTAGTAAAAAGGATGTCATAAAATATATCCAGAGGTTTCTAACATGATTCCTAATTTCAGAGGTGTGCATATATAAGATTTAGGCAAGTTTTTCCTCCAAGATGTGCATAATTTGTATACTGTTTTCTTTTGTAGGATTTTGTATACTTTCAGGTATGATGTAATATCAATGGGGTTACTTAAGGATCATAGGTACTATTCCTGTATTTAAAACAATGGACTCCATTTTCTAGGATTTGTTACATTTTACAGCTTTCTTTTTATTATTATTATTATTATTATTGGTTGTTCAAAACATTACAAAGCTCTTTTTTTTTAAAGAAAGAGTGAGGGAGAGGGAGAGAGAGAGAGAATTTTAATATTTATTTTTTAGTATTTGGCAGACACAACATCTTTGTTTGTATGTGGTGCTGAGGATCAAACCGGGGCCGCACGCATGCCAGGCGAGCGCACTACCGCTTGAGCCACATCCCCAGCCCCCATTACAAAGCTCTTGACATATCATATTATAGCTTTCTTTACTCAAAAAAGTTATTTATATTTGTTTTCTCTTGGCAGCTCGAGTTCAAAGGCACACTTGTAACATGATAGTCCACGTTTTATAAACTTTATAATAATTTTTTTTCAAACACAGAAAATAGTAAAATGAGAGCCAATTCCAAAAAGACAAACGCCGAATGTTTTCCCTGATATAAGGTGACTGACTCATAGTAGGGTAGGGAGGGGGAGCATGGGAGGAATAGACAAACTCTAGATAGGGCAGAGGGGTGGGAGGGGAAGGGAAGGCACTGGGGATCCGCAATAATGGTGGAATGTGATGGACATCATTATCAAAAGTACACATATGAAGATATGAATTGGTGTGAATAAGCTTTATATACAGAGATATGAAAAATTGTGTTCTATATGTGTTATAAGAATTGTAATGTATTCCGCTGTCATGTACTTTAAAAAATAAAATCAATTAAAAAAGAGAGAAAATAGTAAAATGAGAATACCCATATTCTAAAGGTGGATTTTTCCCCCTCTTCTTTGGAAGTGTCTGATATTAAACCCAGGACCTCAGACTTGCTAAACATACACATTACCACCAAGTTATATTCTCAGCTCTAGAGGTAGAAAGTCATGTCTTGCCTTTTCCAGTTGTTATTTTATTAAAAGTCACAATTGTATAGTACAACACAAAGCACTTAAACATGCAGTTCTTTAATAATGTGTAAAATTACCTACGTGATCCCAATAAACGAAAGTCATGGCAACTTTCCTCGATATTTCTAATGTCCAGGCCATTTGCTAATTTCCCCAGTTGTTCCCAACTAAAGTTTCTAGCTCCTCTTTTCTGCAACTAAATGAGATCAAGGACTCCACACTGTATGTGCCACTAGGACAGCAATTCCGTATAACCTCTGGGGC